TGTTAGTAAGACAGGTATGCCTGCCCATTTTTAGGGATTGTCGAATATTTATGATTTAAATAAATGTGTTCTTTACTTTATTGTGAATCTACATGTGGAGTAAGACAGGACCAATTCGGGTGAGTTCAATGCTGTTTTTGATGTCTCATCAAAAGCTCTTCCAGCTTTCTTTTGTTTATCTCTTTTGGCTGATCTCTAACTCTCTCTGTCTCTGTCTCTCTCTCTCTCTCTCTCTCTCTCTGTCTCTCTCTCTCTCTCTCTCTCTCTCTCTCTCTCTCTCTCTCTCTCTCTTTCTCTCTCTCTGCTCTGACAGTATTCACCATGAAAGGAGTGTTGCATTTGACTGAAGCTAAACTGAGATTAATGTTTGTCACGCTGGCATTAAAAGAGCATGAGATTTAATACCAGATTTTTTTTAGATCAAGGACTCACTCAGTGATACTTTAATGTGTCTTTACATGCTGCAGTGGGAATGAAACTCTTCATTTCTCATTTGCATAATATTTCATAGATATCTCCAGTTCTAAAATCTGACTGGCCCAGCCGTGTTCAAAGCCGTTGTGAAACAGTGGAAAAGCATACCTACGACCACCTCACAATACCAGAATTCTTTATTAATGCGCAAAGTTATTTAAAACAATTGAGCTATCAATGTAGTCATTTTTGACATTATGTTCCTTGCATGGGCCACCAAGCATACTAATCATAAAGGTTCCATCTGCTTCCTAAGGATCATCATGTATATAAAGTAAACGGCCCGAAACTGAAGAAAACTACTCTGTGATATCCCAGTTAGGTTTATAACCTAGGGACTTATTTTCATAAGAGCTTGATCTAGGCTGATGAAACAGGCCAGGCATGTCAAACTGGGGATCTTCCAGGCCAAAGTGCTGCAGAGATTAGTGTTTACCCTCATCTAACGCCCTGAATTCAGTTCATGAAAGCCTTGCTAAATAGCTGATGAGCAGAATAAGGTGTGTTTAATGAGGCAGGGTGTCATCATGTGGGTATCATTCTGTGACTACTGATGAAGGACTAGAGGATAACTAACACAAACTGTGCAGCAACAGATGAGCTGTTGTCTTTGACTTTACATCTACAAGGTGGACCAACGAGACCAACAGCACTGCTGTGTCTGATCCGCTCGTACCAGCCCAACACACAATATCACGCCACCATCACGTCAGTGTCACTGCAGTGTTGAGAAGATCAACCTCCCAAATAATACCTGCTCTGTGGTGGTCTTGTGGGGGACCTGACCACTGAAGAACAGGGTGAAAGGGAGTAACAAAGTATACAGAGAAACAGGTGGACAACAGTCTGTAATTGTGAAACTACAAAGTGCACCTATATAGCAAGTGAATCTGATAAAAATGGACAATGAATGCAGAAACAAGAGGTTTTGATGTTATGGCTGATCAGTATATAGAATTTTAAGATCTTATATAGGTAGTCAAAAATAAACATTTAGGTTCACATTGCCTTAAGAACCATCGACATAACAAGACAAATTAGTAATTCTTCTAAAAATGGAAAGCAATTTTTGAATGAGTCATTTTCTTATCCATAAGATTCTAGTTATCTGTGTGTGTGTGTGTGTGTGTGTCTGTGTGTGTCTGTGTGTTACTGTGTTCAGTAAATTTTTACAATTTTATGAGGTATTCTGAGCATAGTTAGAGTTAGCTGTGAAGCACCAACAGTGTGAGCCAATTTACCACAGCGCCACCCAGAGGCAGACCAGTGCTGCATAATTAGTTAAGAATGTTAAAGACAGAGTTTGCCAATTGTGAAGTAGATTAAATAATTACCTTTCCCTGAATTTATATTTGAGTGTCTATTTTTCCTCTGATGGATAGCATAATTTTATAATAAATTTATTTTCTGGGACCCGCCAGAATTTTGTTTTTGAGACATTCAGAGGGTCCAAGAGATTAATTAGATCCCAGATCCCCCAGGACCCCTGTATTTCACACCTTGGTTGTGTCATGACACTTTCTGGGGTTGAAATGACATTGTTGACTTTGTAGCTCAGTGTCTGTCACAGTTACAAAATGCTGATAGTATGCACTACATGGCTACATATAAGTATGTGTACCCTATATATAAGTATATATACACTACGTATAAGTATGTGGATGCTGCTCCTAATTATTAAGTTCAGGTGTTTCATGGACGCCCACTACTAAGAGATGTATAAAATCAAGCACATACCACACAATCTCCATAGAAAAACACTGGCAATAGAATGGGTTTTTTTTTGTGCCCCTTGCCATAAGTCAGTTGATGAAATGTCTGCCCTGCTAAGTCTACCCTGGTCAACTGTAAGTGCTATAATTGTGAAATAGAAGTATCTAGATGCAACAACAGCTCACACATGACGTGGTAGAGCACACAAAGTCACAGAGAAGAGCCGCTGATATTGTTTGGTGAGTTTAGTGTGAAGGAATTCAACTGCCCTGCAGTTGAATGCAAGCCAGGTTTTCTCATTCACCATCAGTGCCTAACCTCACATGCTCTTTTGACTGAAACGGCACCATTTCCCTCAGACACACTCTAAAATCTTGTGGAAAGCTTTCCCAGAAGAGTGGGGGCTGTTGTAGCTGCAAATGGGCTTTTAAACCCATGTTAATGTCCATGGTTTTGGATGGAGAAGTCTAACATGCATATATAGATGTGATGGTCAAGTGTCCACATACTTTTAGCGATATAGTGTAACTTGTGACATCAGGCTGGTTGAATATTTTCTGTGGGTGAGTTTCATTTTACGATTTATTTAGGTTTAGACTGTGTCACATCATTATGTCACTGCATATACACCAAGCTACAAAGCCAGTGCTACATCATTTCATCCAAAAACGTACCATGACACAATCCAGTGTCAGAAAAAATTGACTTCGCCTGACATTGAAGATAACAAAAGCAGCCTTTATAATAGATGATACCTGCTAGAATAAGCCTTCATAAAACTTTGTGTGTTTAAATCAGTTGTAATGACGAGCTTATGAAGGTGTCATGTATCGTTATGAGCACTGCTCTACAGTGAAGTATGTTCTTTAGCTTATCAGTCAGCACTGCTCTCTCTTGTCTGCCACACACATACACACATACACAACCATTCCCTGCCACAGACCTGTCATCGCCTATCTCTGTAATAAAGTGACTGTACTTCTCTTTAATGTTCCAGTCATTGTTTGATAAATTATGCTTGCTAAGGCTCTGTATTAACTGAATCCGTGTTGTGAGGATGTGCCATGCACAGATAAAACACTGCTATATTTGTTAGCTTCCTTTTTCTTTTAATGGTCTCAAAATTAGCCTTCAAATAGTGGCAACCCCTTTTGGTTCAATGGGACCTCGTCTCTAGGGCTCATGGCTTTTAATAGTGCATCGTGCTTGTTGAAAATGATTCAGACTTCCATGATGGCTTGCTGGTCCCATGCCGTGGATGCTGTATCCAGGATACCCCTCAGTTTCCTTGGCAACGGGATGGCGCGAATGAAGAAAGCGTGCGCAGCAGCTATTGATGCTCCACGTCTTCCTTTTCAAAACGATTCTGGGAGCGTGCCATCATTTTAGATTTCTTTATGTCATTGGACTGTGCTGCAGTGCTGTTCCCACGGTTATCCTAACCGTTTATAAAGAGCATCAGGTGTGCAGAATCCTTCCCCTGGTTGATGTGTAAGCGAAGCGGGGTGAAGCTGTGAGTCTGTAGCTTTAGAGCAGCACGTCATCGTTAGCCGTGAAGAGCCGGGCACGTTTGCTGATGTCAGCTGAACTGGAGCCACCGGGGCAACAGAACAGTGCTGCAGCGAGGAGGACTAGCGATGAGCCACCAGCCTCCGCTTTATCGACTCCATTAATAATGAATGCTAGACTGAAGGGACTACAGCTTAAGCATAATATTTACATTCTGTTACAGCACACAGTGTAGGCTATGCTTAGATATAGGATATGTGGAGGAAATGCATAAATCACTATGACTTCTTTGATTTTTTTCATTGATCTGTCCTGTTAGCGCTGCCTTAACCAGCAAACAGCACAGTATACAGCACAAAGGCACGTAAACACGGGAAAGATGAAAGTATATATTTCACTTAACGCTTCAAAACTGATCTTAAATCATTTATGGGATGAAATGGGATTTTCTGTTATTATCATTACGTCACGTTACAGTAATTACGGTGCGAAAGCACATATGTATGGGAAATATAACAGGCTACACTTTAATTAACATTTATATGTGCGTCATGGATAATTTATGTAGTGTGATTTTTGTATGTTTCTTTTCATATATAGGTATTTTGTATATAATACATACGTACATATGTATATACACATATGTATAGACACATACGCATGTATATATACATATGTACGTATGTATTATATACAAAATACCTATATATGAAAAGAAACATACAAAAATCACACTACATAAATTATCCATGACGCACATATAAATGTTAATTAAAGTGTAGCCTGTTATATTTCCCATACATATGTGCTTTCGCACCGTAATTACTGTAACGTGACGTAATGATAATAACAGAAAATCCCATTTGTATATATGTACACACACACACATGTATATATATATATATATATATATATATATATATATTTATATATATATACGTATATACATACATACATTTGCATTATGTATAGATAAATAAAATATATATAAATATTTTCATTAAAGCTTTTTATCATTTATAACCTTAATCAGACTCACGTTAATCAGACTACCCATAAAGGTTACTAGCCACAACTAATCTGAACGGACAGTCAGGCTCGTGCTCTCTGACTGAAGCCCTTTAGCTGAGGACTCATGGCGGGTTCGTGCTCTCTCTCTCTCGCTCTCCCGCAGGCCACCGCCGACCAATCGCGGGCCTCGGTGGGCGGTGCCTCCCTTGTGTTGGCCCCTCCCACTCATGCTCTCAGCACCCCCGCCCCCCTCCCTCGCCTTATCATCGCTTCCTTATCTCCGAGCCTGGCCTGTGAGTGAGGAGGACCGGACTGTAGGACTGTAATGCTGAGCGCAACGTGATTGTAGGGCTGAGTGGCGTTTCGCTCGGAGCTCTGCAGGCATGGCCGCCTGGCCGCCCTGTCTACTCTCCTCTTCCTCCTCCTCCTCCTGCTCCTCCTCCGGAGCTGTGGAGCTCTAACTAAACCCCCCATACCACACCAGCCGCTCGGATCACTATTGACAGGATTATAACGCGTCGAAAGAGGGGGTGGGAGGCTGGAATTATGAAGGTATGTGTCATTTTGACCATGTGATCGGTCATCCGTGCGCTTTTTGTCCACTTGCTTCTTTCTTTTTTCCCACTGCCAGCTAGGCTAAGCTATATAAGCTATATGTCGCATCCGTCCGCACGTTACAGGTTCCGTTCCGTTCTCCTGCCTGAGAAAAATGACACTCGCTCTTGCAGCATTTAGCATCAGCAGTATATGTGTGTGTGTGTGTGTGTGTGCGTGTGTGTGCGCGCGCCTTGTTTTCGCCCCACTGGCTTCGTTTTGCTTTCAGTGGCACAAGCGCTACAGTGTGCGCTAGAATGAGAAATAGAACCTAAACGCTTGTTTTCATGTTAAGCCTAAAGCACATGATGTGATGAGAGGAAAAGGGAAAAAAGCAGGTTTCAGACAACAATAGCAGCAGGCTGCACGGACAGTGCATGCTGGGACAGTGCCTTGCCTTGGCTTTGCTTTGCTTTGCTTTGCTTTAGCGGCAAAGACTGCATGAGTGGAGTGCTGGTTCAAACGGTCAAATGGGGTGGCACTGAGATGTCGGTGTAAATGTGGGCTGTCTAAATGAATTGTGTCAGACAGCGAGACCGAAAGACATTTCAGTGCAAGTTAGCACTTCATTTCTGCAAGCTGGTTCATACATTTCTCTCTCTCTCTGCTTTTAACTGAGGGTTGGTCTGATTGGTAGCCTGATCAGATATAAGCGCACTGTACATTGTTCTGAGGAGCTTCCCAGTCACACTCATGATGTAAGTAATCCTCGTTGCAGTCGTTGAATAGCTGCAAGCATCACCCCCTCTCTCCCTCTGAGCAGCACCCCAATGATACACCTCGGGTTTTCATTCATTTGACAGTGTAGTTTTTAGAGAGCTCCTGCTGTGAAGTGCAATAAAAGAGTGTGGAGGTGAGTGTCCCTTAGCTGTTCAGGCATGTCTGTGGTAAGAGATAGATGACCATGATTCAGGGAAGAGAGCAGGCAGTGTCTCATCGGCAGGGTCGTTCATAACTGTAAGCGTGTGGTCAGCATTGAATGAGGAACCTATAGCTATAACACACACACACACACACACACACACACATACACACACACACACACACACACACACACACACACTCTGTGATGTTTACATGGGACGCAGAGCAGCAGGATGCTGCATCTCTCTTTCTCTCTCTCTCTCTTGCTCTTTCTCCCTCTTCCAGTCTTTCATCTTCTGCCGATAGACAGTACAACTTTTTCAACTGTCTCCTCTCTTCTTTTCTCCTCTCCTGTCTTCTACTCTTATCTCCTTTTATTTCTATATATCTCTTCTTTCACTCTTCTCTTCTTTTTCATCTTTAATTTTCTCTCTTTTTCTATCTCTTTTCATCTCTTGTAGTCTTCTTTAGTCTTCTCTTCTCTTCTGCCTTCCTTTTCATCTCGTTCCTTCACCTCCTTCTCTTCTCTTCTCTTCTCTTCTCTGCACTTCTCTTCTCTTCTCTTCTCTTCTCTTCTCCTGTCTTCTTCTCTCTTCTTTTCTCCGCTCCTCTCCTCCTCTCGCTCCTGCATGCTCCATTCAGCCGTATCAGCCATAAAGCCCACTAGCATGAAGGTTACACAGCCGAATGTGCCGCTAAGTCAGAGCCAATAGCATCATTATGTAAATAGTCCTCTGCAGGTGCGGCTTTGAGGGCCATTCATATGTATAAGCATGTGTGCAGGTACCGTGGAGATGTGTTACTAGAATACATAGTGTGTGTAGCTAAAGCCGCACGCTCCGTCTCGGTGTCCAAATGGTTCTGTGCTGCATTTTGCACCCAAAGCAACAGCTGAAAGCAGATAGCAGAACCGATGTGTGTGCGCTAAACTTGCCCTGGGCTGCTGAAACTGATGAGGATGGACAATTGAAAAGAGGTTAATTAGAGAGCAAATGTACCGTACATTAGGTTGCAATGCAAACTGCTCTTGTCTCTTGTACTGGAGTGTCCAGGGTGACTGGTGTACAGATTAGAGCGTTCACAAGCATTGGAAATATAAAAAGCATTAATAAAGCAATTTTTCATCCTTCTTTTTTTCATCAGTGGAGGTGCTTTGCTGCTGATGTGGGGAAAAGTGAAAACAGCTTCTGGCGCTCCGGCCCTCAGAATGCTTTAATGGTCCTGCATAGAATGCCAAGCCAGTCTACCTGAACTGCTTCACACACTAGTAAGCCGCACTGCGTTGCTGCAGAGTGTTTTTAAAACGTGTCCTCAAGCGATACCATCATACTGAAGAGGGCACTAACAACTTTCTAGAGAGAGACGCTGAGCTTTCTAGCTCTGTTATGTCCTTTTGTAGGCCTGTAATTGTCCGTTGTCCGGGTGTAAGACATTTCAGGATATACAATTTGTATCACAGTATTTCATGTTCTGAGGTTTGATAGCTCGGGACAGACACAGTGCACCAGTAGTGCTACAATAACACAACGCTATTAAGAACTATGTGCATTGATTTTTTTTTTTTCTGATTGTGGAAAACAAAACCGCCATGCGTTTTATGCTGCATCCAGTTAAGCAGGGCCACTTACGATCCCTTAAAGTTAACCAGACATCAAAATTTTACATTGTTTATTAAGGTCCCTGGTGATTCTTTATGTCATATAATTTAAAAAGCCCATATTGTGCATTATTCTTGTATTTATTGTTTTCTTTGAGGTCTAATTATAGGATTTATTGTATGTCCAAAAATCATCATTCATGTTTACATGACTATTTTCTGATCTCTCTTTATTCTAGTATATGTAAATGACCCCTGTTCTGATTGGTTGCCCTGTATTTTGCCTCTATGCAAAAAGCAGTCTGTGTTGAAACACTCTTTATAACTTCAATAGGCCGATGTATTTAATTTGATGGTTTGCGTGATATCACTAAACCAGTGAATTAAAAACAGGATGTTTTTGTAGCTTAGTTTTCATATATGGACTTCATAGACTGAAGACTGAAGAGGATATTCTGAAACTTTAACAATGTTTACAAACTACATCAATCTCTTTGGTTTAAGAAAAATTAGAAAACTTAAAATTGTCCATGATATGGGACCTTTAAAAGACAGAATTCTTATTTTCTCATAATCTTTGATCAAAGTGTAATGATGCCCACCTCTAAAGTGTCTTCTATGTCATTGCGATCCAGTGAGCAGGACAAATAATCTTAACCAATAGTATGTTGCAGTATGTTTCCTGTCCCCACCATCTCCACTTATCATTGAAATGCTCACCTGGCTCAGAGACTCTCCCTGATACTGTGTTTCACTTGAAAATGCATCACGTGCAGGAGGAAAATGCCTTATGATTTCTGATACACAGTGACGTTAAGCTCCCAGCATTGTTGAGATTGGAATGAACTCTCGACAACAAGGTGAAAATTCAGACATCCATGCCAGTGACCATATCAACGACATAATCAGGAAATTGTGATGTCATTTATTAGTGAATGACCAATTCAGTACACTAGATCAGAGCAGATAAAGGCAAGACGTCACTGATCAATGTTTAATACTATTTCTTAGACATGGTCATTATAAAATTGTAAAAGTGTAATTTTATAAACGTTGTATAGCAATATAATTAAATATTTTGCAAACCCTTAAAAAGAATGTTGGTGTATGATTGTTGAAAATACTGATTTAAAAACATAATCTGTACAAGCAGTAATGTAGTTCTTTGTGTTTGCATGACTGATTTTTGTTAGATCACTGAGAAACAACCTACCTACCTTCTAGTCAGAGCACTGCAACAAGAAACAATAGAGTGTCTGCCTTACAGTATATGGTGTTAATTTGCTACTATGATAAACATATGGCTTAACAAAGCCCTGGTAACAGATTGGTTGTTCAGAAAGGCATGCACCAGGTGACAGTTAGCTGAGTTATCACAGTAACAGCTCCCAGTGATGGTAAAAAAAAGATTACTCACATTACTCTTCATAATATTTTGCCCAAACTTGTTGAAGTATATTTTCCCATTTAATCATTTTTATAGCTGTCTATTTTGGTAAAAAATAGACCAAAGATAATCTCATCAGATATTTGTTTAGACTTTTCAATCATAGGCTCTTATTAAATGTCCTGTAAATCTCTTGTGAGCTGTAATCAAAGTCAAGGGTTCTTCATGTCAGTCATCTTTTTTTCATCATCTATTAACAGGGCAGCGAGTCCAGCGCCCTTTTCAAACCCACCTCCCCCACCCCCCACCCACATGCAGACTGTCCTGTCCACTTTCTGGCCTGGTGCCGCCTGGACCTTCGCTTTTCAATTAAAGCCAAGCACGATTGGAGCCCATCTATCGTCTCACCTGAAGGCCCCTGCAGGATTGATCTCCTTTCTGCATTTCATCTCCAGCGGGCCTCGCAGCTCTGAGCTAATGAGGGCTGGAGCAGGAGAGCTGTGCCAGAGCAAGATATCGATGCACCCCTAACAGAGTCTCCAACTCTGGAAATCTATACTGTAGTTTTAAAGTCTTTAGGTGAAGTTAAAGCTTGTAAAGTAGCCTTTTCTCTCTTGCGTTGTCTGCAAAGGTCAAAATACGCATATGGAATGTTAGCAAAGTACGAAAGTTTGTCCCCATTTGCTCCTTAACAGCCTCTTTTGGAAAGGCTTTACCCTAAACGTTGGAACGTTGCTGTGAGAATTTGATTGCATTCTGCCACAAGAGCATTAGTGTGGTCAGGTGCTGATGTTCTAGGGTCCCATTTCAATATTTTTCTTTTAACATCGCCCTTGCAAACTTCAACTCACCACTCTGACATGCCATATGTCACTCGTATTTTTCAGTCATAATGTACTTGCCCTCGGCAAGTTAGCCTCAGTGTGCTAGTCAGCTAGCCATGCAAACTTTGCAGTGCAAAAGTTTCCTTGAGAAGATTAAACATACCGAAAATAAAATTTGTGAATAATTGAGTTGTCTCGCTATAAACTTTGCTGTAGAGCCAGGTGTATTGCCTTTCTTTTTGTTGTTGTTAGCCATGTAACCTTTAGCATGCCAACTAGCCAGCTA